TTTTTTACCGATATAACTTTCCCCGGTAGTTTGAACCCTTCCCGATCACTGACCCCTACCATTTGTCTCACAGTGTTACCAACCCATGGTAATAGTTCTCAATCCTTGGTAAAAGTTCCCAAATATTGTCAAAATTCGGGAATTAGATATCTTTAGTTGTCGAAACTAATCCTTTTTCTCAGTGTACATTTATAAAATAGTAGCAATTTTTAATACGAAAATTCAATAAAAATTAAACAAGCTACATGTTTTGGATTAAAACCAGGAAGTTCGATAGAAAACCGGGATATTTCAAGGTTGAGCCGGGACATCGGGAGGAACAGTCTAAAACCGGGACATGTCCCGGAAAACCGCGACGTATGGCAGCCCTAATCTAGGTCGAACCTAATCGTTAATTTGCTTGAAGGGTTTGGCAAATTCTAATTAATATTGCATTGAAGCATATTTCTACAAGTTCCATTTAACTTAACGTATGGTTTGGTTAATGTGGCCAACCGTATTTCTTTCGGAAGTACAGTACTTCTTTTTTAGCTCTTGTACTTCGTACTTCGAAGTACAGTCAAATATACTTCTTTGCAATATTTTGTACTTCAGGTCCTGTAGTTCTCCGATCTTCCGGATGATCGTCACATGGCCTGGGCAATAAATTCTTTCAAACCATTCGCCTGGGACAGATGACATCATATTTGCGAACTGCGTGAGGACCGGGTACATCCCCAAGGCTTGGATGATAGTCAGTCTTTCAAGAGCTCAAAATGCTTATTTCAAGGTCGGTGGACACCAACCTGCACACATTGCTACAGTGGTCAGAGGAAGCCTTCACGCAGTAGGGGCCTTCCTCGATGTCGAGGGGGCCTTCAACAATGTCACTCCAGAGGCAATAGTCAAGTCTATTCATAATCTGGGGGTTGAAACCAACCGAATAATGCTTATCTACAGCTTACTTTGTGACAGAACTGTCGCGGCGGAGTGGGGGACCACCTGCACTCAGCGCAGAGTCAATAGGGGCACTCCCCAAGGTGGTGTTCTCTCCCCCCTGCTCTGGACTGCGATTTTAAACGACCTTATAGAGGAACTG